CGTGTATCTGTCAATATTTAATATCTTTAATTGATCCAAAACCCCAAGGTATTACAATAACAATACCTTTGGAAAATAACAATATTTTATTTTACAGAACTATGATATAAGTCTGAAAGTTATACTTTAATTTATTTAGACATAATTTGTAGGGTTTTAAATGGAATCATTTATTTTAGTAAGAGCTTTTTAGTTCATTTTTATCATAGGTTCATATTTTATTTGAGCTTTATTTTACTTCAGCTTTATTTCCTTTCACAGAGGATGACTCTTAGGCAGTAAAATTAATTTTCCAGCAATAAATCCATTACAAAATGTGCTAAAGTAATTCAGCTGACTTACAGAGAGCAAGAGAGAGACTTTCGCCTCGGCTCTGACCTGAATCTCCTTTCTACCCAGAATCCTCAGGGCTGTGGTGTATGTGTGTGAGTCAGACAATGCGAAGAGACCTCTGATTCATGAGTAGGCAAACACTTACACACACACACACACACACATACATACGCGCCTTGTGCCTCATAAATGTGTGCTTATGACACACACACACACGCAGATCTCCAGGATACAGAGTGACACACTTGTTTTCGGAGGACACTTTTGATGTGGGGGAGATGATGGATGTGTCGAGGGCAGCTTCATTTCTGCTCCACTCCTGTGAGTCACAAACACTTACATGCGCACATTCATTCCAGATCAAACCCTGGACGCAGAATAGATGAACAGTGTTTAGTGATTGAGTTTATGCCACTAAAGCTGTATTATTCCATTCATCAAAGAGATTTTAATATACATAGTAAAGGAACTGCAAGGTAATGAGCTATTGGGTTTATTATCTTATAATAAACAACTCTTAATTCATTAACAACAGTAAACCACATTCTTAATTCATTAACAGTGAGAATTTATCCTGTTTTAGAAACAAAATGGCCGCCATCTAGTGGTAATAAATAAGCATTGCAACCTTAATGTGTGAAATACGTCTTATATATGATATTTTGCTTCTAATGAATCAATAATATATTCAATAAAACATCTATTGATATATATTTCCTCAAAAAGTCACCTTATGAAATTATGAACACAAAGATGTTTACATGTTTGTCTAATTTTAAACCAACCTTATAACGTTATTTATGAAACCAAACCCATCACTTGTGTTTGTTATTTAAAAGCGGTCACAATTTCACACATTGGATAATTAAACGTCGAATATTTTCTCTAAAACAGACAATAAAATGACATTAATTAACATTTAAGAAGCAAAATTGATTGTACGGTCTACTCACTGTCATGTTCACGTTACTTCCACGTCAAACTGCTCTTTTTAGCAGTATAGCGGATGTCTAACTTCACAAAAGTGTCATAAATGGGGCACGTTATATATAACTTCTTCTAAAGTCTTATGGTAGCTTTTTTAAGGGACAGGACGAAATGTAAGCCTTATTTGCTGCAAACATGTTGAGCCTCATATATTTACACCTGGCGCGTCATAACGGACGCTACATTTAATCAAGTAATTCTGCTCCGCCCACTTCTCCTAATAAGGCATCAACAGGGCTGAATTTCCGGCTGGATGATAAATAAAATATGCGAATTAATTACACTTTCCCTCATTTGCTAGCTGTTCCATATGATAGAAATCGTATTTAATGTGGTAATAAGTACACATAGTAATCTTAAACATAAACATTTTGTGAATGCGATTCATTTGTAATGAATGTTTAGGCTACTTGAAATAATAATACTATGAAATAATGAAAACACTCGTGAAAATATATTATGTGGTGTTTTGTATTATTGTTATTTCACAATTTGTAATACACAGAGGATTAATATTTAAATATTTCTCCTAAAATAAACAGTAATATGGGCCTATTGATAAACAATTAGGAGGTTTAGGCCTATTTTATGATGTGGCACGGCCTGTTGCTTGCTTCCATATTAAAATATGGTTTAGTATATCAGTGTTAAATATAATGCTTTTTTAAATTTGAATAATATATTTATAAATGGTTATAAATATATTTATTAACGCCAACTTATCCAGCATATTTTTTACGCAGTGAATGCCCTTTCAGCTGCAACCCATCACTGGGAAACATCCACACACTCTCACTCACACACATACACTACAGACAATAATAGCTTACCCAATTTACCTATAGCAGATGTCTTTGGATTGTGGGGGGAAATATAGCTAACGAAGGAAACCCACGACAAGATAGGTAGAACTTGTCTTATAACATATATAAAAAAAACGAATTGTGCATAGATAGATAGATAGATAGATAGATAGATAGATAGATAGATAGATAGATAGATAGATAGATAGATAGATAGATAGATAGATAGATAGATAGATAGATAGATAGATAGATAGATAGATAGATAGATAGATAGATAGATAGATAGATAGACAGATCTTTTAATCTACTCACCTTCAGGCCATTTAAGATGTAGACCACTTAACCATGGTCCTTGGTGATTCATACAAATCAGGTTAATTGTTACAGGCACCACAAAAGTCAAAAATATACAGAGGCAAGAGAAAATGAATATCCCATGGCTCCTGACTGAAGAATGTAAAGTAAACGCTTTCTGATCAAGTAAAAAAAATCTAAACAAAACAGTTATATGGGACGTTCTACCCGAAAAGTACATTATCTGTCCCTAAATAGAAAACACTGAATAAAAAATATTTCATCAAGAAATGTCTAAAATGGACTGATGGTTGTTCTGTAAAGGAATATTCATTTGGTTTTCAGATTTTTGTTTAATTAAAAACAGTTTACACTGTACAAACCCTCTCCTTGTCTTCAGCCCAAATAAACCTACAGCTTTAATAGTTTTGTTATGCTAAAAACTGCTATTTATTAAAAGGAAACTTCAGAAATAGCAAGTTTAAGTTGTTATCATTCACATCAATTGATTAAAAACATGAAATTATAAATAAATTCTACAAATAAATACTACAAATATATAATACAAATAAATTTATAATTGTCCCCGTATTTTGGTCAGTCCTTTACATTAAAATTACCATAAAATGCGTGCATTGCACGTCTAAGGCTATGACAAGCAACATCACTTGACAGAGACGAAGCTGACAGTGATCAAGGATGCGTTCTCTCTTTAAAGTGTATGATTTTACACTTGTTTTTGTATGATTTTTTTTTTTGAGGATGACAACCTTAATTTACGCCCTGTCAAGTTTTTATGAGTGTACATGTACGTTTCTGGTAGAATGCCCCATATATTTTGGAAATATATCCACATTTTGCCTTCATCTAGCAGATATTTTGGCAAAAGAATCAGAGTAAACAACTAACAAATGTGTACCTGAAATAAAAAGCAAACTAAATTACTTTCAACAATATTAGATTTGTATCTGGTTCCACATCGCCAAGATCAGGTATCTTCTGAAACTAAAAACAAAGTGATTATCATAAAGAAAAATAAGTTCACCTCTCACTGAACATAATGTCAAAAACACAGTCTGCAAGTGTCCGCCCAAATGGAGCCAAAGAAACACACAAAAATCCATCCACGACCACCCTGAAATTATAGAGGAAATATTTATTTAGACAACCAAATGCATGCCAGAAACACCAATTTTACATAACTGACAGCTCCCTTCTCCTCCTTACACCAGCCAGCTTCAAATCAACTCCACCTGGGGGAGAAAGTGGACAGGAGAGCCATCTGCTGGATAAACCTCTGTATTGCATTGCAATGAAAATTTTGCGGGAAAGTGTTCATGAGGGGCAAATTTATGTGTGGGGGGAAAAACACTATAGACGTATAATACATAAAAAGGGACAGGGTGTGATCTTTGATTAGAATGGTGTGATCTTTGCAAATGGCAAAATTATTCACATCTCGCATGGCACAGAAATGACCTCTCGCACGACACACTGACAATACAAAATAAAATTCACATGCAGTGTGCTCTCCACGGCATCTAATCAGACCTATCCGCACATTTTTTTAGGGAGTTTCACAGCTAATCGTTGGAGATGATTTATTCTTTTCGTTAGTTTTTCACAGCGAATGAAGTTAAAACAAGAAATACCTAATAGATAAGCTTAAGAGACCAAAAAATAAGGACAGAAATGAAGAAAATATGCAAGAGAACCGAGCGCTCCGCAAAACACATAAGGATTTTAAGCCTAAGAACAAAGAATTGGTCCGTCTATGGGTGCTGCAGCCCATCAGCCGCACTTACAGCTTGAATAGAAAAAATAATATCAAAAATAAATGCAACCCTTTGAACAATAAACAATAATAACCAGCAATAAATAATCAAGTGGTGTTCCTCTGTATATATATATATATATGTACATATACACCAGGGTCACTCAGCATTCAGCCTAACATAGACTGATTTAGCAAATTTATGACGTGAACGTATGCAAGATGAGTAATAATAATTTAGAAATACACTACCGACATTATGGAAATGTCTTTAAAAAGACGTTCTTTTTACGCAACCAACATTAAGAACAATCATCTAGATGGCTGTTAGTTCGACTATGCGACTGGCTTGGAAGAGCTTATTCATTCGACTCATGCAAGTTGTGTTTGAAACCGAAAGTTTGGCAGAAATGGTCACCACAGTTATTGACTTTTTTGTTTGTTTGTAAAGTCAGTCAGGCCCACTTGATTATCTGAATATTAACACGAACACCGAAACGCTTCTGAGGACCAGAGGTTAGACAAGCTGTTACTAAGGCATGCCTTATTTTCACCTTTGACCACTTGTGTCCATAATTACTTGTTGTGTTGTTCTATATACAGTACAATGCTTGCTCATATATTACAGTCTTTACAAATCCGAGTGACTGACTTCCAGTTTTCCAGGCGCCAAATTCACTCTTTTTCTTTTCTCTTCACAACCAAGAACTGTATTTTGTCGTATCGACAATCCTTTGCCACCGAAAGCATTGGCACGTCCTCATGAATGCATGAAAAACATCACTTGTATGGCGTCGGATCTGTAACACTAATAGTGTAAAAGGTCTTTGCTGTCACATCACAACAACAAAGTGAATGTGCTTTCCCTGGTGAACAGGAGACATGAGTAGGATTCCACCATTTTGTTTTGTTGCTGTTGAGTTTTGTGCTATCGATAATGGCCGCACTGCACGTTTGTCTGTTGTATGAGTGACTGATGCAGATGTTTAATACAAGTGTGTATTCGTTTTACACGCTGCGTGGTGGTCTTTGCTGTTCGTGGGTCCTGCGGTTGCGTCCTCTCTTGTTCTCCTGAAGTTGTTTCCACTTAGCAGTATGAGGAGGTCCTCTTTGAGGAGTCTGGGGGCCTTTTTTCGCTTGGTTCGGCTGTGCTCTTTGGCTCTCCGAAGCCTTTTGTGTGTCCGGTTTGGTGCTTTGGCTCTCAGTGCTTACCGTACCTCCAGGGCTTTGACTTCTTTGCAATCCGGTGGACTTGGGAAAAATCTGAACGCTCGGGTTGTTTGGCACTTTGGGAGCGTTTTGAGCTCTCTGTGTTGGGTTTTGCAAGCTCTGAGCTGTAGTTTGAGGAGTCTTCTCGTTTTTTATGCTTACTCCGGCTCCGGGGTTTACCTTGGGGGCTTTTTTCCCCTTCGGCTTCTTCTCTCGCTTCCAAATGCGCTCGCAGAACTCGTCCACGCTGTTGAGGTCTGGGTGCTCCAGGAGGCTCATGAAATCCCGATACCAGAGTTTGTGTTTTGGGGCGGGATCTTTATCGTTGGTGCCGGCGCGAAGCAAAAGCTCCCCCACGCGCTGAGATGGGATGACCTGGAGATTAATGCGCCGGAGAGGCTGGATGAAGCCGTGCTCGACGGCATGGCAGAGAAACACTCCTGAATCCGCCTGGGTTAGACTTCGGATTAGCAAACCCTGGCCTGTAAGACTCAACCTTTCATCGATCACAATCTAAAACAGAGAAAGAAAGAAGACAGTTACATTTTATCTATAAAGCTATGATAGGTAAACTTTCAGCTTATCTTTATGCTCTTCTAAGTCTTAGTTCTGGAAATCACCAGCTACGCTCCTCCCAGTGTTCACTTCTTAAAGAGCCCCTATTATGCATTAAAAAAGCAATTACAATTAACAAAACACAATTAAATACATATTTTGGAAGCTACAGAAAACAAGGAGGCCACCGTTTTAGTCACACTAACGCTTGCAATAGAGGAAGAAACTGATCCATGAACTGTGTACTGATAAAGCTCCTGTCAAGCTCTGACAAAGTCCCATACATCAATAGCCTGATCCTTCCTTTAACAAACAGCTGACGAATCCTCAGTTGCAGGGTAGATTATTGCATTAAACACCAGAACGTTACCTCATCTTCAGTCATGATCAGTCCCACACACAACTATACTCCGCTAGGGAAAGGCACGTTCATGCTTTACCGGATCCAGCACAGAACATAATTGGTATTGTTTTGTGTCGATGTCGATACAAACAGGCAAAAGATCCGGACGAACTACAAATCCTTTAAAGAACTCTGAGTCAAATCTTTTATTAAAAAAAATCTAGATTTTTATATTGCTGCACACTGCATTGAAGGTCATTTTCAAAAACTCATAATAGGGGTCCTTTAATATACGTCGAGTTTGTACAGAGCTGGGAAAAACTGTTTTCTTATTGTTCACCTTGGACATAAAATAATTTGCAACATGATTTAAACTAGATAAAATTGTGTCTTTCTGTAAATTTGAAGACATTACAAAGAGAGCGGCATTGGAAACGTGATTGTTTTTGTTGAGGATTGATGAAATGTTGTTGTTGTGTGTTCTTGTATTTTAAAATTGTTTTACAGTAGGGCTTTTACACTAGCCAGAACTCTCTTGTAAGACTCTTGAGACTTCCTTTCCTGGTTAAATAACGATGATAATAATAATAAAGCTCAAAGTAAAGTTTGTTTTTTACATGCAGATTTTCTGTGTACAATGTATGTGCTTTGAATTGTATTTTGCACTACTTATGCCATAGCAAACAGAGTTGTTTTACAGGCAAAAAGAAACAAGAGACCTCTTTTTAAAATGAACATTTCATTTAGGAATTTCTTTTTACTGTCAGACACAAAGCAAGATGCTCTGACTAATGTCAGGAGAAAGCAGAAATTGACATCCATAGTAGAAACAACGACAACAAAAACACAATAAGAGTCAATAATAATTTTTTCCCCAAACATTCTTCAGTATATTTGTGTTCAACAGAAGAAAGGAGCTCAAAAAGACAGGAAAAAGTGAAGGATGAGTAAATGATGACAACATTTTCATTTGAGTGAACTATCCTTTAAAGGGAATTTAATTATATCTTGTATAACTCTATTTTAAAAAATATAAGTGCATTTTTATACGTCATAACAGTTTGGGTGAAAAAACACTGACACTGGACAAAGTCAATAAGTCAAAGTCAATGCAAAAGAATCTTTCTAGTGCAAAAATGTTCAAAAATTCTATAATTACTTCAAATGACTGTGTGTTCATCAATGCTTACAGGCTAAGACATGCATAAAAACTTTGTATACTTTGGTCATTTTTCTATTTTAACACTTTTTATTTATTTATTGTGGCTTCAAAATGGTCCTAAGGCCATAACGAAAACATTGAGGTCATATCTCGACAGCACCGTTGGGAGATTTTCTTTCACAGCAGGAAGGCTGAAATCTGACCATTATTACATTAACATAATGACCGTCTGGGGCGAGGTGTTACTTTAGCACTATTTTTTGCCTGATCATATCTGAAAGAGAAACACAGCTGGAGCATGTGTGGTAACACAAGTCATAATGTCATATCCTATTCAATAAACTCCCTAAAGTTACTAATAATAACATTACACCTTTTCTTTGTAGAACAGTAACGCTTTACTTTACTCTAATTAAGTGTTAAATTTTATTACTACCGAAATATATCCTAAAAATGTTGTCCTGTTCCATCCTATGTGAGCTGTCACTCAAACAATTGGGGTCTGCGATACTTTAATAAGCCTGCTATGCTTACCAATGCTGCATTTATCTGATTTAAATCACTTAAACGGTATTTTTTTAGGCATATTTTAAAATGTAAATGAGACAGAATAACAGTAACTTTTAATGTCATGTATTGTCAATGTTATTTGTGGTTGAGTGTGTGCATATGAATGTACCTCATGCTTGCGCTCATCATTGGGTTTCTGTAGCTGCCAGTAGATCAGAGCTCTTTGAGACTTTGGGCTGCACTCCAGAAACATGCTGCTGTTCTCGACGCCATACACACTTCTCTCCTCCACACTGCTGTAGCCTTCCAGATCATCTAACACACACACAAATTCACATAGCAGATGTTTAGCAATGCCATTAAAAGCTATTGAAAGAGAGTGGCATCCACACAAATGGAAGACAATAGTGCATTAAGTGAACTTGATTATTCAGTCAAGCAGATTTCATTTTAATGTGTTGATTAAAGCACATTGGAATTAGAGGATGTTGAAGTGCAAATTAATAATCAATGAATCATTCATATTATAAATCATGTTGAAGCATTTATGTTTTAACATGAGGTCTTTTGAGACATAAATGTGTCCACATTTTGACTGAGATTCTAAATTAAATGTGCCAGACAATCTAATTACAAATGGATAATGCTAAATAAATTCTGCTGTAAATAATTTGAGCTTGTCTACTTTTTTAGTGGAAAGGCATTCGTTCAGATTGCTTATGTACTGCCATACACATCCCTTTCGTTTTCTTACTTTGCTTATTGCATGCTTGCTGAATTGTACGCATTAATAGTATATTGTTTATCTTTACCATTGTGGTGCAGATCAGAGCACTGTGAAAGAGGATCTCCATTCCTAATGTCCTGACGTCTCGTTCTCCTATTAAAAACAGAAAGAGACTGGATTAGACATGTGTAATTTAATGTAGAACTTGTCTTAAAAAATTTGCTGGGCGTCACGGTGGCGCATGTTCTCCCCGTGTTCATGTGGGTTTCCTCCGGGTGCTCCGGTTTCCCCCACTGTCCAAAGACATGCGGTACATGTGAACTGAATAAGCTAAATTGGCTGTAGTGTATGAGTGTAATTGCAAGAGTATATGGGTGTTTCCTAATGCTGGGTTGAGGCTGGAAGGGCGTAAAACATATGCTGAATAAGTTGGCGGTTCATTCCACTGTGGTCACCCCTGATAAATGAAGGGACTAAGCCAAAAAGAAAACGAATGAATGAATGTTTGGCAAGATTTACCCCAGGTGTTTACCATTGGCAAAACAAATACATTTCCACCACTAGAGTGCACTGTTGTTCTACTCAAACATATATATATTCTGCCCAACAGATGTACAGAAAATCTGTACATTTGTTTAAGGTAAAATGGTTTATGTGGTGCCTAAAAAAGTGCACTTCATCAATATTTATTCATCCAATGGTGTTAGATCAGTTTGTCCCCACAAATTCAGATAGAGGGTTTGGGGAATGTTTTTATTTGAGACTTTTTAAATTGGATGTGATTCCACTTGCATGGCATACAATTATAAGCAGCAAATAAAGCTTGCTTTATATTGTTTGACATGCCTTACACTGGAAAAAACCCTAACACGATTCACTGGATAAATTTTATTTAAGGTAAGTGGTTGCAAGCACTTTTATTCGTTAATTCATTTTCTTTTTGGCTTAGTTCGTTTACTAATCAGAATGAACACTTTTCCAGCATGTGTTTTACGCAGCATATGTTTTACGCAGTGGATGCCCTTTCAGCCACAACCCCACACTCGAAAACCCCCATACACTTTTGCATTCACACCCACCTCAGCAAGCATTTTTTGTTAGTAAAAGATGTCTAATAGACGTCTAAACATAGTCATCTTGGCTAAAACAAGGCTAAATTTGGGCTGTCAGTGAAAATCCAATAGACGTCTAAAAATAGGCCCAAACTAGACTAGTCATCAAATAAACAGAAATGAATGACTACACATGTACAGTCTGTCTAATCTGTCTAGTCTAGTTTTGGGCTGTTCTTAGATGTCTATTAGATTTTCACTGACAGCTCAAGTTTAGCCTTGTTTTAGCCAAGCTGTCTACATTTAGATGTCGCTTAGACGTCTATTAAACACAAAATTGTTTGCAGGGACACCACGGCCAACTTAATTTATTCAATTCACCTATACCGCATGTCTTTGGACTGTAGGGGAAACCAGAGCAACCAGAAGAAACCCACATGAGCACGGACCAGCGACCTTCTTGCTGTTAGGCGACATTGCTACCCACTGCGCCACCGTGTCACCTGTTGCAAGCAATTTATATGAACTAAATTTAACAAATGAAGTGGAACAGTACTAAATTTAATTTGTTTCTTGAATTCCAGCCCTTATAAAATGTCTGTAACCATGGTGGTAACTTACCTTCAAAAATGTTAGTAAATCCAGTAAACTATTTTTTTCATAGTTTTTCTTTAGAATCATAATTAGTGGAGATTTATTTCATAATGTTTAGTGCTGAACTCCAAACCTCAGAAACTCCAAATATCTTGTAACAACATTCTCTGCTAAAAGAGCCTTTCAGTCTTCGTCAGCCCATTTACAACAGTTTTGTGCCACTTTAAGAGAACAGTTTCACCTCTTAAACACAATCACAGGCCAGAATTTGAGCCAAGATCGACACTCTTATCCATTATCAACAGCGCCGAAAGCCTGAGAAAAGATTTCCTGCGCCTGAAACTGAAAACATTCAGGATCTGCTGTCAAAGATCTGTGTAGAATATGTGTAAAACAGCATCTTTGTCATCCTCCTAACTTTCTTTTCTTGTATTTCGCACATAGCTCTCTGTGTCTCCTCATTTCTGTGATGTGTTTTGCTAAGGCGTGCACACACACAGTGTATCGGCACGTGCGGGAGGTGCGGTAAGGATGTCTGTTTTGCATTTTAGGCACAGCAAAAATATTTTGAATGGCGTGCACCATCCTGGTGCTGTGGAGCATGAGGGTGTGTCGAGACTGAAGCCAAAGGCCTCTACTTCGCCTGTGAAGGTGTGTGTGTGGTATGTGGCCAACTGTGAGCATGTGTTTATAATGTGTTTAAAAGCAGTCTGAACCTACTTGGATCCAGGTGTTTGTGCTTGTCTATGCACATGCGTTCTGTGTGTGTGTGTGTGTGTGTGTGTGTGTGTGTGTGTGTGTGTGCAGATTGCAGAGCACTAAACACCTGAACAGTGAACATGGTGACAATTTGTGTAAAAATGCTATTGACTTGGGGTTAGTAAATCAAAAAAAAAAAAAAAAAGAGAGAATGCTTTGCTCGTCTACATTTTATGAAAGTTTTTAAACATTTTATCTGTTTTTAAGTCTGTGCACTGAAAGTTGATGGTGTTTTTGACTCTCATTGAAATCAGATGTAGAGATAAATAAGTAAAAATATCTTATTTTTGTTCCACAAAAGAAAGAGGGTTAAACAGGCTTGGAACAACATGAAGGTAATTAACAACAGAATTAAATTTTGGGTGAACTTTCCTTTCAAGATTATGTTGTTTGCTCTAGATTCTAAAATAAAAGCAACAGAATGTAAATGAATACTTCATGCATGTGCTTTTATATTTGGGACATTAATTTATAGTAGTGATTTTAATCTTTTAGATGCCATGAACCACCATGTATGATTAAGCAAGGAATCATTTATTGATTCATTCATCTTCTTTTCGGCTTAGTACCTTTATTCATCAGGGGTCACCACAGTGGAATGAACCGCCAACTTATCCAGCGTATATTTTACACAGTTGATGCCCTTCCAGCTGCAACCCAGTACTGGGAAACATCCATATACACTCATACACACTCTTACACTACAGCCAATTTAGTTTTACAGCATGTCTTTGGACTGTGGGGGAAACTGGAGCACCCTGAGAAACCCCACGTGAACATGGGGAAACTGCGAACTCCAGACAGAAATGCCAACTGACCCAGCCAGGACTCAAACCAGCGACTTTCTTGCTGTAAGGTGACAGTGCTAACCACTGAGCCACCGTGTTGCCCCTAAGCAAGGAATACACATTCTAAATTGGTATAAAATGTAAAATCATACCATAAAAAAGTAAACTGATAATGGGTATTAAATGTTATTTGGAAAATATTATTTAGAGTCTAGCATGTGACAATATTACATTTTGTCTACTCAGCATAATACTGCATTTATTTATTTATATAATTTTATATTTATTTTAATTACATTTTTCATTTTAACTCAATTTGTATTTATTTGTTTTAATCATTTTTTTATTTATTAAAGATTCTAATTTTTTTTACAATTATTTTTATAATTATGCAGCTTTTGTCTGATACTTCTATTTGTTATATGTCTTATATTAATGAGTCTTATACATGTATTGAGTCATATTATTATTATATTAGGGCAGCATGGTGGCGCAGTGAGCAGCACTCTCACCTCACAGCAAGCAGATCGCCCTGGCCCCGGCTGTGTAAGCTGGCATTTCTATGTAGAGTTTGCATGTTGTCCCTGTGTTTGCTTCGGTTTCACCCACAAGTCCAAAGACATGCGGTACAGGTGAATTAGGTAAGCTAAAGAGGTGTCGGTGGTGAGGTGTCTGAATAACACAGCTAAGTAACTGTACTATGCGCTGCGTTTCGGGCAGCCGCTGTAATCGGATCCTATACCAAACTTGGCGATCCGGGGGTGTTATAGACTGTACCAAAAATATAAGGACCGGGGAGAGGGGGGAAACTACGGGAGTTTTCCGGGAGAAATAACAAAACAGGAGGGTGGCGGAAGATGGGTCTAAAATTCGGTAGACTTCCGGGAAAGTTTCCCATACCTGTTGGAAGGTATGGACTAAGCCGAAAAGAAAGTCAATGAATTATTATATTATGTTTATTATATTAGTCATATATGTCTTATATTGATGTTTGGTTATTTCATTTTATTCTATAAATCATTTTCATACTTATTTATTTTAATACAATTTGTGTTTATTCGTTTTAATGGAAATGATATTTATTGAAGATTATGCTTTTTGTTTGACATATATTTTTATAATTACGTGTCTTTTGTTTGTTACTTCTTTTATTTATTACATGTCTTATATTAATGAGTCTATTAAAATGAGTCTATCCCTTGGAACTCCCAGACCCCATTTGTATACTATTCCCTCTTCAAAGTAATCTCATTTTTAATATTATTCCAGCTAAATGTGCCAAGACATTAATGATTACGTGCAATAAAAAAGTAACCTCTGTGGCACATTCAGCATTGACCAATACAGCTACACTGATTCATCCAGTGAGGAGTAGCTACCTGTTTCTCCACACACAGGCAGAAGAAAAAAAGTGTTCACCTTTTAGCAGTTGGAAAATACCGAGAGCATTCAGTCCCATCCCAGGCACAATACGGATCTCTTGCCAGGCAGCACTCGGCACAGGCCTTCCCGTAGACCTCACAGCGGTGCAGGGGCATCTGGGAAATCCCTAAATCTGATCCGAGGTACAGCTGTTGCTGTTGACAGATGAACATATAAGTCTATTAGGCCACGCTTTTCTCTCTGCTAATGGCTGGTGAAGAGTAATATCAAGCAGACGTACTTGTTTAGTGGAGAGCTCCATGGCAGTAATAGGTGTTGGCTCCTAAAAAGGAAAACAGAGCAAGTTTAATCTCATTTTAGGATCCGAGGATATTTGTTTGATGACATGCCGAGGCTCTACAGACAGATTTATGGCTGAGCAATTAAATGTACTGAGGTGAAAATTACAGTTGGAGGATTTAGATCCCAATAGCAAGCAGAAATGCACAGCTCTCTTGGTAATGAAGAGTTGGAGCTCATACCCTAAACACAGTCATCTCTTCCAGCACCACTTCCTCCAGATCATGCCAGCTCTCCCTGGGAATAGTCACCACCTTCAGAACGGTCCCTAAATCTGATTTAGGATTGATTAATATTAGATATTCAATAGCATCTTTTTGTGATAGTAAGTGTTACATAGAAAAAATGACATCAAATATAAGCCTAAAACAACATGAGGGTGAATAATATTAATAATAAATCATTTAAAGTTGGAAGGATGATATTATTAAACTGGAAACAGAAAGCTGCTCCAACATATATACATCTTATGAGGAATGCAATAAAACATTCGGAACTGGAGGAAATCAGGTTCTGCTTAAAAAAAGAAAGAGGATAAATTCTCTAAAATCTGGCAACCTTTTATAGATTATTTCAAAGACCTAAATTCTACAGGAAATAGTTAAATTGATGAGGTTTAGACTAATTTAAATAAAAAATAAAGGTCAGTATTCAGTTTTTTTTATTTTTATTTATTCTTTTATAATAAAAATATTATTATTGACTTATTTATCTATTAATATTTCATTTGCATGTTTGTATATTACAATGAATATACATATGGTTTGTATATTTCCATATGTATTGTTTGTATATTGTATCTTTTATTGCAAATTTTTGTGTAAATGTTTGTTGGACCACATTTGTAATTTATTGTGTTTGAATGTTTAGAAAAAAATAAAGAAAAAATCTATTTAGTGTGACCTATGGGAGCTTTATGTAAACTTTAATAGTGCATTAAAATGACCACTAAAAAATTTTTTTCTTTGCTTGTGAAAATCACAGTATTCTTTTTGCCAAATTCAGACTTATGTTATGGCAAGTCACTGTGTCAGAAAATACAATTTTGACATCTTGTGTCATAGATAAACAAGAAACAACAAGCTGCTTTCAGACCAATCATTTTGTGTCATTAACAATGTGTGTGATATCACTGAGGATTTCATCATTGATATATATACACCGCTAAACAAGTAACGTTATTGATGATAATAAAGTCACTTAAGGCAAAGTAGCACCAACTCACACTCGATACTCGGCTTATGCTAGATTTGTTGAATAAAATAAGCAAACAATGTAACTGAAATATGACAACAAGATGCAAGGTGCTAGAAACATGTATTATTGTCGGCTAAGTGAAACGAGTCTTGCATAATGGACATTCATTCACATTCGCAGGAGAGGGAGTGTGTTTTAGGACATGGATTAGAACAAATTTAACAGGATAATACATTTCCATGCACACAAACACAAACTCTTTATCTTTATATTATATGTAAACTATCATAGATATATGTATATATCTCTGGTTCTGGATGGCTCAGTCCTCCAATGCACCTTGGTCCCACATTCGTTTCAAAGGAGCGCTACACTGTACTAAAATGGCGGCTTTATTGAGGCATTCCTTCCAATAGACAACATTAGAGCAGGTGACATGTAATGTAAATATCTATGGGATTTTACAATTCAATCTCATTTGTTTAAACATTGCTACAGCTGCAAATATGGACCAAATAAGTTTTTGTGTATACAGATTATGCCTAATGTGAACACAGTATAGCTTTGTGAGTATAGAGCAGTTATAGTTCTGTATTAATGTTATTTGTACTAGCCTGTGCCAATGAACATGACGTCGTACTGGCCGTCCTCAGCTTCCACACGATCCACCACCAGCTGAGTGAATTGGTACTCCACGTTAGTGCGCACCACAATGGGTTTCCCACCCATTGGCTGCACAGGGTTATACATGGCTGGATGCAGGCGGGCAAATGTGATGACATCATCAGGGAGATCTTTGGTGGAGTCGAAGCCTCCAAACGTTTTGCTGGGACACTAATGAAGAGATGACAATTATAATATATGATTCTTTAGGTCAGTTAATCTCAAAAATACTGTTTAATGCTTTTAATGTATAATGCAAGTATGCTATTTCAGACAAACTCAGTTAAATGTGAAACCAAAAAGTTTAATAAAGCACGCTATTTAGTAGGTAGCTAAAAAAAAAAAATGCAATTATTGATTTTAACAAAAGTGAGCCGTTATAAAGCTGTAGTTTGTCAGAAAACATTAACGGCGTCAGTATATATTGGCCAGTACTCACTGTGCCAGGACGGGGATATGGCACTCTGCCCTGGAAGGGAACCCACTGGTAGTTTGGCCCATCCCTGTGGGCATATGGACCCAGAAAGACCCTTCGGATGTCTGCCATACTATACATGCATATAGCTGATCCACGGAAGATATTACTAAGGAAAGGACAGACAGGGTTAAATAAATGATTGAATGTCAGTGTACATATCCAGAAGTGTGTAAATCTGAAGTGAATAACACATTTATTCATTCATTTTCTTTTCGGCTTAGTCGCTTTATTAATCAGGGGCACATGGTGTGCTTTATAGCTTGCATTGGCTCCCAGTTCAGTCCCATATCTTTTTTAAAACACTCACACTTGCATTTAAAGCTCTACATGGCACCGCTCCTTCCTATATCTGTGACATTGTCCCTCAGTCTTCTCAATCCCTGCGGTCTGCTGATACTCTCACCCTTCAACAGCCACCCTGTACACTTAAATCATTATTGGAGAGAGCCTTCTCTGTTGCGGCACCCAGGTTATAGAATGCTCTCCCTTATTCTGTAAGAAATGCTTCCACACTAGCTAGTTTTAAGAAGATGCTCAAAATTAATCTTTTTAGGACTGGATTTTTAGATTCTTGACTATTCTGTGTTTATATTTAAGACTTTTTTATGTATATTTGTATTTTAGTGCACGTTTGATTTCTCTGTTGTTGTAGCTTTTTGGGTCTTAGAAAAGTGCACTATAAAGAAAATTTATTATTATTTTTGATGTTAATAATCAGGGGTCGCCACAGCAAAATGAACTGCCACCTATTCCAGCATATACTTTATGCAGCGGATGCCCTTCCAGCCGCAACCCAGTACTGAGAAACACCCAGTCACATTCATACACTCATACACTATGGCTAATTTTGTTTACCCAGTTCACTTATACCACTGCAGATCACCCATGGGGAAACCATGCATACTATACACAGAAATGCCAACTGACCCAACCGGGGCTCGAACCAGCAACCTTCTTGCTGTAAGGCAATCGTGCTACCCACTGTGCCACTGCGATGCCATGACACATTTAATTCACTTAATTTCAATAACAGGCTGTTGGGCTGGGTAAATGCTTGCATGGCTTTATTTGAATCATATATTTATAAAACTCATATAACAAAGGAAGAGCTATAAAATAATAAGACATTGGCAACGGCATCAAAAAAGCGCAAGTTATTAAATTTTGATGAAAGATCATGAAATGAATCAAGCACAATGACACCATAAAAATATAAATAAAATAAATAGGATTGTTTCTGGCTTCTTGTTTACTTTGATGTCTGTTAGTTGATGTATAAAATTAGCATTTGTATTGCAGTGCATGTGTGTGAATACCCAAGCATTAAACAGCCATGAGACCCGACATACTGCGGTGATCAGCCCATTGCATTTGTAAAATGTTAATTAGTGAGAAAATCAATTAAACCACAGGGCACATGAATAAACTAATTCGCCATTACTCAGTCAGGGTCCCAGACATAAAAATGCACACACACGCACGCATGTGCTTGCACACTCTAACACACAAATACACACGTACCCAGACAGATAAAATACTGATCCATCACCGCAGAGTCAGGCCTCATTAAGTGGCAATATTAAAAGCAAGTCCCTCAAACGCACTTCTATTCATCTCAAAAAACAGGGCACTTAGAAAAGCAATTAAAGCAGTCTAATTCTTTAAAGCCTGTAATTGAATTTTCGAGTGTTGTGTTCTCTGCATACATTAGGAAATCAGTGAGGTGGGAATATATGAACAGGATGTGCATGGTTTGGATGACCGCCGCTTTCGCCTCTCCTGTTATGACAGTGATTAATCGTGATATGTTTGTCCTCTTCCTCATCTTGTGTTTACATGCACATTTGTACGCACGCATACACATGTGCTCATCTATCATCTTAAAAGTCGTTTATCTGCTTTGGTTTCTGCCTTCACTCTTTCCTAGCCCTTGCAAACAGGGCCAGAGAACAGGCTGTCTGGATGGGGAGCGAGATTCGGGTTACCACCTTAATCATATTTCCTTTGAGCTGAACTAAGCTGACGCTGAATGGGAAAACAGGTAAGGGAGGGCAGAGACCTGGGAGGAAATTCCCATCGAGAGTGCAGCGATGTGAAGCGCCTGTCTGAGGCTAACCAGATTACTGCACTGCAAAGCTACTAAAGGGACAAACATATCATGCTTCAGGAAATCTCAGCAATCCAACAGAAGAGAAGAAGAGAATGAAAGAAGAAAAAGAGAGAAAGAAAGGGAGTCAATGAAGGAAGGAAAGAAGGAATGAAGGAAGGAAGGAAGGAAGGAAGGTGCAGAAGGAAAGGAAAACAAAAACAAAAGTTGTGAACAAAAGCATAGGAAAAAATGAATTTAATGAAGGAAGGAAGGAATAAGGAAAAAGAAAAGAAAGGTAAAAACAACACAGAAGAAAAAAGAAAATAGAAATAAGTATGTACATTACATACATGTAAGTATGTAATGAGGTATGAAGAATGTAATGAAGTATGTAAGAAAGGAAGGAAAGAAGAAACGAATTAGGGAGGAAAGGAAAGCAGAAACAAATAAAGGGAAGATCATAGAAACCAAAGAAGGAATAAAGGAAATTAAGGGATGGAAAAAAATGGAAAAGATACAAAAAAAAGAAAAGAAGAAATCGCTCAGAAGAGAAAAAAGAAAAAGAAGATAGATAGAGAGAAAGAGAGTAAAGGAAGAAAGGAATGAATAAAGGAATTCATTGGGGAAGGAAAGGAAAACAGAAACATAAAAAAAAGGTTGTGGAAAAACAGGTAAAAATCGTATCAATTAAGGAAGGAATGAAGGAAGGAAGGAATAAAGGGAGGATGGAAAGAAAACAGGGAAAATGAAGAAAAACAAAGGTTAGAAGGAAATAATGTAGGAAAAGAAAGAAGGAAAAGAAATGAAAGGTGAAGGAAAAGGAAAAGGGAAAGGAAAATAAGGCCGGTAAGGGGAAGGCAAAGGAAGAAAGAAAGAAAGAAAGAAAGAAAGAAAGAAAAGAAAGAAAGAAAGAAAGAAAGAAAGAATAAAATGAAGGTAAAAGCATATCAGTATTACCTGGATGTAGTAAACACAGCGTAGATGACTGGATTCTTTGGGTCTTTAGCGCTCATCAGAAACACATCCTCTGAAAGTTCGACAAATCATTGTTGTGTTAAAAATTTGTTAGTTATTGCTCACATGCACTTTAAGCTCTATTAACAGCATCTGGGATGTAGCAGGGGAAGTTTATGGGCCAATTGTTGTAAGTTTACCCCATAAACTTACATTGTAAGTGCTTTTTACAGCTCACAAGTAGAGCTAGAACACTTCTCAGTGGAAACTGACAGCATACCAAAAATGCCGTCAGCAGAAAAACTGCATTTGTTGCATTTACCCATTGCAGTAAGGCTGGATATCTGAATTTATATTCACATATATAATGTGGTACTTACGCAGCTCATCAAAATGAGTGTCTATGCCATTCAGACCAGGCACAGAGCAGGTCAGCTTGGCTTTCAAGAAGGTGGTCCATTTATTCACGAGACTCCGGTGTCCACCCATGTCATTCTGGAGACAATGCAAACAAATGTTCACACATGCTCAGTAAAACCACATTAAGCTTTAAATATTGACATTGGTAACACTCACTGTAGGACCAATTCTCACTATTAACTCGTGGCCTATTACTTGCCAATTGTTAAGATATTAACAGTGCATTAGTACTTATAAAGTACATATTCTGCATGATCTTATTCTACATCCTTAAACCCACCAATACGTAACCCAACTGCAACCTTAAAAACTATTGATAAGCAGCAAATTAGGAGTTTATTGAGCTAAAAGTCATAGTTAATGATTTGTTAATAGCGAGAATTGTCCCTTTAGAAAGTGGTTCTCAATCCTGGTAGTCACGGCCCAATGTAATACCTATTTTCTCTTTTGTTTAGAACACTTGATTTAAATAACCAGCTTGATAGAAGAGAGCACCATGAAGCAACTGTTAAGATCGACATCTTCCCTACAGAATGTTCCCTTCTCTCTACCCCTTAAAACAGGAATTTGGTTGGTCTTGGTTTACTTCATTCAAAAAATTCCACAAAAGTTTTGCGCAGCACTACTGTTTGCAGATTTTTTGATTATTACAGTTCCGTCCTGACGTCTCTTGGAGTGATTAAGTATGGTAATAAATATGTATATGGCGCTGTTGAAGAGCAAGTACTTGCTAATGCCAGTATATTCACACATATGCAGTCTAAAATTATAACACACTGCTACTGCAAACATAATATTCATGTGATCCCTGTTTCAATGCAAGGCAAGTTTATTTATATAGCACATTTCATACACAACGGTAATTGAAAGTGCTTTACAGAAACGATAAAAAACTAAAAAAATAACCATTATTTAAAGATTTAAATATGATTAAAACAGATTAAAATGTGTTAAAACAGTTTATAATGTAATATAAATGTTAATGTAAAAGAAAAGAAAGACCTAACAGTTCGATCTGTCGGTCGTAGCACAGTGCTCGTTCAGTAAAGGCACAGCTAAACAGCTAAACAGATGTGTTTTCAGTCTTGATGTGAATGTGCCTTATGTTGGAGCACATCTGATCATTTCTGGAAGCTGATTCCATCAGTGGGGGACGTAGTAGCTGAAGGACCATTCCCCCTGCTTTGACTGAACTCTTGTAATTTCTAATTTACTTGATCCTAATAATCTGATTTGTTAATGATGTTTGTATTCAGTGAGCATTGTATTGAGGTCCAAGGCCATTTTAGACCAACTGATTTATAGACAAGTAATAATACTTTAAAATCTATTCTGATTGTAACTGGGAGCCCAGTGTAAAGACTTGAGGATAGGTGTGATGTGCTTGGTTTTTTCTGGTTCTGGTCAGAATCCTGGCTGCAGCGTTCTGGATGAGCTGTAACTGTCAGTGAGGACCAGTGACCAGTGAGGAGTCCATTAGAGTAATCCTCCCTGCTGCTGATAAAAGCTTGAACAAGTTTCTTTTAAGTATCAGATCTAAACACAGGTGGAGCTGGGGTGGAGGAGGGTCTCGAAAAAACATTGTAGAACAACACTGAGCATTTAGAATGTTGCAGTTGAATGTTGAATCAGCAGCATCCAATCTCCTGTGCCATGTAATTAATGACGTAGGAGCAGATTAAGTGATCTATCATGTAACCCAGATCAATAAATCTAGCTTACATGACTGCTTAATTTATTTATCTAATGATTTTTACAATAATACTTAAGAAGAAATAGAAATTTAAAGATTGATTGCTATGCAAGTAAAAAGATAGGAAGAAAAATAATAAAACCCCCGAGAGACTTTTAACTTGAAGTCGGAAGTTACCCGGAAGTTAGCTCCGCCCCTGTTGAGCGCGCGCACAGCCAGACAGAGAGCGAGAGAACGCGATTGAACTTGAACGAAAGAGCGCGAGCTTAATAGATGTACACGGCTTAATAATCCAGCGATTATTAACGAATAACTTCATATTTATTTGATACTGTGAGAAACTAACAGTAAGGCTTGACAGTTTGAGACCTAGAAACTGACAAAAGTGAGAGGAGACCTGACGAATCTATTAGACTTTAACATCTATTCCCTCAGAGAGCTGCTATTCCTTTTTTCCTTCTTTCATTATCATCTACTTTCTTCTTGGTAAGTTCTGATTCTTTGCAAGATATGTATATTATTATTTTGAGTTCATATACTGTGAATTGTGATTAAAAACATTCAGAACATAAGTTATTTAAAAGTTTAAAAGCTTTAACTCTGTGAAATGTGAAGCAATGAGTGTGAAATGTGTGTATATAATTATTTAGAGGTTTGTGATGTGTTCTAGTTAAAAAGTTTTATTGTTGAAAATGATTATCCAGTGAAATGTGTATTAGATGGATGCTAGCTTTGCTAACTATGTACATAGACCACAATGTATTACATAAGCACATGGTGACTTAGCATATATGTTCTGTGTCTGTGTGTGTGTGTTAATAATTTAGACACACAATTCATATTAGGTTTAAGATGATTTATTTGGACAAATGAAAATAATGCTTTATTCGGCTTTGTTGTTTCAAGGCCGGGTTTTTTGGTTTGGTTTTTTTTTTTTTCTCCACTTTGAAGATTCAAGAGACGTGATTGAGAGTGATTGAGAACTGTCCATTCTGAGCATTCTGTCCGGTTTGGACTGGCGAGCCACCCCATCAAATTGTGACTGGTGAAACACAAAGGGATCAGTCATCAAATCTGGTAGGATCGAACCATTTGATTTATATATTTTTTTTTTACTTTTGCTTCCTGGATTTTTGTGGATTACACATATATTTTTCCCAATTTTTTGGATTTAAATTTTCACCTTTGAGGAACATTGCTATATTTTTCTATTTTTTTTCGTGAACTGAACTGAACATTAAGAGCCCAGACTTTTGGTTTCTGAGCCCTAACGGAACACTGGACTTTGATGTTTGAATTGAACTGTTTCTTATTGAATTTTTGAGGTTTGAATTGAACTGTTTGTTATAGAATTTTCTGAACTGTGCATTTAACTTTTGATATCTTCTTTATTTTGTGGTCTTACTATTCAAATGACTTGCTGAAATTATATTTTTTTATTTCTGCACTTACTGCTAATTTTAAGTATCTGAGTGAGTTTATTATTACAGACAAATTATAAAAATTTCAGTGACTGGTTTATTCTCTTTTTAATTGTTATAGAGAAAGTATACTTATACTTATTCTATTTACCTTTTTTTTGCTCTTGAGTCGACTCCTTTTTCTTCTGATTGCTGGTCCAGGCGATTTCAAAGTGCTAAACTAGTAGCAAATCGAGCACCACTGAGTACGCGCTACAATCAGCCTATGTGCGCTTTGGTATGCAGGGTTATTTAACCATAATTGTGTAATTAGCAAAGAAGTCACATCTTGTGCACATTACCCTTTGAATTTACACTTTCAAACCAGAATCATGGCAAAATATCTTGTGATGTCCACTTCACAGGGCACCTACAGTTGAATGGAATAAAATAATTTTTTTAATTCTTTACTGTATCAGGCTATGCTGAAATACTCGGGACAATAAACCATATAAACAAACAAGAGAAAGATACAAAACATGCATATCCTGGAGGACCAGGATTGAGAACCGCTGCCTTCAAATAAAGTGTGACCAACAATAATAAAAGTTAATATCGTGTTCATATTCATCCATGTGCATGTTCTACATTTCTGTACGTGATGATACCTTACACAGTTGTCCTATCCTGGAGATAGTAGCTTTGCCTGTGTGTTCGCCATCCATAGCGTTTTCTTTGAAGAACAGGAAGATCTTGTCATCTTCAGGATTATCGCTCTCCGGGATCAGGTGTATTCCTAGAAACCTGGGTTCTGGAATACACACAAGGCGCATAAGAGCGTCAATCTCAGGCACTGAAAGAAGAAATTGAGCTGTTTAAAGCAGCTTTTTGGGACGTCCAAACACTGAAATAATCCAAGACCTCAGTATCGCAGTTACAGGGGGAACACTCTTACCCAGCCGTGACCGCTTGCTCATTCAGAAACGAAACGCAACACGTCCCCCCACCCACGTGGGCGGCACACGCACAAAGCAACATGCAGTGCTGCATTACAGCAACAGGATGTGAAGCTTAAACAGCGGAACGAACATTTACCAAAGAGAGACTCCGTTCATGCACTGTGAGTGTGTATGTGTCCTTGGAGACGCCATAGTTTCAGGTCATTCAATACACCGAGCTTCCCAAAGTTTCTCTAACTGAATGTTTGCTCTATCCCCTTTGAAGTGAATAACTATTGGGTGCATTGTGTAAAGATAGCGAGAGGCCCGTGTCTCTATTGATAAGGGCTTGATAGAATATCCATGTGACTAATCCTCTAAACGACACTGACTCTTTTGTGCGGGAGAGACAGCTTTCAGTGCGGGCGGGATGGAAGGAACGTCCAATGTATCCGTGGTAACAGACGGCCAGGATTAAGGTGAGATGAGCGTTTTCAAAAGCACCTTTCCTGGTGAATATAGGGGGGGTATTGATGGCGTGGACGTTGACCCTGTATGAGGACTGAAACGAGAGGCACTCGCTGGAACAGCTGAGACGGGATTAACTTCATGGGAAAACACTACCCGATTCTGCTATCTTGATATTGACCTTTTGTGTTCCGTAAGTCTTCAAAAATGCAGACGGGATGTTAGGGGAAACACTCAACACCCCGGGCCCGAGCTAATCTCTCCTGCAGACGCTAACAAAGAGGTGCTTTATTTCTCTTGCACAGATCTGGGAACATGTACACTCGCGTGAGGGGACATAAACTTTTGCACACAAAAGAAAACCCATAAATTTACATTTATTTTACACATTCGCTCTTGGCAGACACATGCTTAGCACGGTAACATAAACCGTGTGAGGACTTCAGCAGAACGCTAAGTGAAAAAAGGCTACAGTGAACACTGTATGTGCAAATTATATATAATCTGATACTTATTTATCAGGGGTCACCACAGCGGAATGAACCACCAACTATTCTGGCATATGTTTTATGCAGCAGATGCCCTTCCAGCTGCAACCCAGTTCTGGCAAACACCCATACACTCATTCACACACACTTATATAATTTAGTTAATCCAATTCACCTATACCGCATGTCTTTGGACTGTGGCGGAAACCCCCTAAGAAAACCCACTTGAACACAAGTAGAACATGCAAACTCCACATGTTAACGTCCAGATACTATGTGTATATCTGGTGAGTCTGTTTTTTTTTTAACAAATTGTTTGTACAAATGATTGAGTGACTCAAATCAGTCCCTTGGTTATTAATTATAGCAGCATTTTTGAGCAAATTATTTCAATCACTGATTCATTTTTTTAAAAATACATCACCTTATGGTTACTTAAGTGTTGAATGAAATCATTAAATCCTGAAATTTGAAGCTGATATCCAGGAAACTCTTGCTCATGTGATATTGTTTACCTAGCTAAATTTTATAAATATTACACTGCAAATAAATACTTTCTTAGAATTTTGTCTTGTTTCTAGTCAAAGTATATTAAAATTCTTATGTCAAGAATAATTTCCTAGACAAGTACAAATATTGAATTGTTTTGAATAATAATAAGTTAACATTAAGTGAGATTTTCATTCATTTTAACTTATCTTTTCTGAATTATAATTTTTTTTACTCTTCTAAAAATGTTCAGTCATTTATTTTTCTTTGGCTTAGTCCCTTTTTCTCATCAGGGGTTGCCACAGCAAGATGAACCGCCAACTTATCCAGCATATGTTTTACACAGCGTATGCCTTTCCAGCTGCAACCCAGTACTGGAAAACAGACTCATACACTACAGCCAATTTAGTTTATTCAATTCACTTACACAGCATGTCTTTGGACTGTGGGGGAAATCGGAGCACCCGGAGGAAACCCACGCCAACATGGAGAGAACATGCAAACTCGACAAAGAAATGACAACTGACCCAGCCAGGACTCAAACCAGCGAACTTTTTGCTATGAGGCGACAGTGTTAACCACTGAGCCACCATCACCCTCTTAAAATGTTTCTTGATTTATTAAAAAATATGTTAACTAGAAACTACAAAACATCAAGTAATAAAGACATTTTGCAGTGTTTTTTTTTTGGCATTTGCCTTAAACACTGAATTAATTTTTTATTAATTTTGGTGGCATGGTGAGGGCTTATCAACACAAGCAGAGGCTCCTTCTGTTGCAAGACCTGCTCCACATGAACACAGGTATTATTAAAACCGCACTTTCTTCTATGCAATTTCACTGTCGTCATGAAAAGGCAGTGTCACATAACTAAAACCGAGACTTTCACCCAGCCAGGGTGAAGATTTTTCAAAACTCCGGGTACTGTGTAGTTCTCTGGATGCTAAAACCAGAGTTTTAGACTCATGACATCAGACTGCACGCTGTTTTCTCCTTTCTGATTTGTCAACATGGCTGCATACTCTCCAAACACGGAAGAAATAAATGAGGAAAATTCCCAACCTAGGCTCATTCTGAAAACATATCGCTATATACATTTCTGGAGAGCGCCAAATACGTCCCAGGAGCATTTTTTTTTAGCAGTTTTTGTTTTCGCGAATCCACCAGAGGCCGCTGTGTATGCTTTTTGAGATCTCAAATTTCTCTTGTGAGTGCCATTCCCACCTGTTGCTCTTGCGTATATCTACCAGAGGCCACTGTCGACTGACTGACTGATCGACTGACCCATCCTCCTCCTTCCCTACCCAACCCAACCAATAGTGTTTTTAAAGGCACAGACTGACCCGCCCACCCGCTTCCCTAAACCCAACTGACAGTTTTCAAAAGCATTCTAGAAAAGAAAAGCCCCTTATCTGATTTTTACTACATTGTCAGATGTTACCATATTCTCACCCTGTAACTTGTTTATTTTATTTTTTTGGCTTTTGGCTGTTTTTGTCTTACCCACTTTCTGGAACCCTTCTTCGCCAGACTCGAACCCCATTGTTGTGGTCAACTCCTCTCTGCGTCTCAAGTCCACCGATATAAATGGCGAGCTTCATACCGCGTCATACCTTACCTGTAGCATTCGTTTTAAGGATGAAATGCAGCTATCTGTACTTCCGGCTACATAATTTGTGATCTCCAGAAATGTATATAGGGCTACGTTTTCAGAGTAAGCATGTGTTGCAAATTCTGCACAACCTAGGGATGGTAATCTGCCTCTGTACTAAGGTTTGCATTGACTTGAATGCAATTTACTCGCGAAATATACTTAATTCCCCATTTGTGTGAACTCAAAATAAAAGTTTAATTATCGCCACCTGTTGGTTCGGCATGCTCATAACATGCATCGCAGTGCACTTTTTTCGACAGAGGTATTTTTAAAAAGACAAAAGTGGGGAAAACTTCATTCATAACAATTCCAGTGTACGTGTGGAAATGGCTTAAGTAAAATGGTTGAAATATAGAATTTTTTAATTTAGTTTAGCGACTTCTAAAGACACTTGCCTAAATCATATCACAATGTTATCAGACTATTTACCATTCAGCCATCTGGAATCATGCTGCTCCGTCCTGATTGGATGATGTGACCCAAGTGTTCGGAAAATGGCAAAGTCTCGTCCCATGAAGTCTGCTGATGTTCCCGAGTACAGCTCTCCATCTGACCATTAAAGAATAGCATTTAAACATCCAACCAAAGCACAGAAAACACAGATTCTACCTATTTAAAAGCAACACAACAAGATTTCTGATGGACTTACCAAGCAGGAGGGATGAGGACTGCATCTTTGGATCATAGGGACTTTTCCCACGTCCATTTTCAAAGTAGCTGGCATCCAGCCTGAAGATGTTGTCCTGCGGAAGGGGAAAGTGAATTAACTAACGACAACAAGCCGTGAATAGTAATCAGAAGAGATAATGGAGAGGTGAATGTCAAAAAGTGCCATTAGGATCTTGTTCAAGTCTTGCTCGATTCATAAAAAGCCGCAATTTCTACTCAAGATATCTTCTGTTACATCAAGGCATTCAGTGCTCTCGAGCCATGATTCATTTGCATGGATCAAATAAAAAAAATCACTGACATTTTTTAAACATGTAAAGCCCATCTCATTTCCCACAGTCGAGGCACTTCTAAATAACACACTCGCTGCTTTGTGACAGTCTCATTTTCTACTTCACTGGGCTGAAATTGTTAACAGGGTAAACGTTAGCAGCGGATAGCCACCATTAATTTGCCTTTTCGTTCCCTTAAAGGTTTTCTGGTGAATGTGCCCTCGAGATATGTATGCGCAGGAGTATGTTTGAGTGGCGTTACCTTGATGAGATTAAAAGAATTCGTTTTTTCAATTATTCATATGTAAATTGTATATGTGTGTGTGCTGTTTACCTCTGCTCGCTTGCCCATCTCCAGGAAAGAACAGATAGGATGGAAGGCTCCGGTGCCACATATATAAATATGCGTTTGGTTATATGACTGCAGCACACGCACAAAGTTTGAGCAGTCTTTCTGAAAAAGGCACAACAGAAAATATGTGTTAACCAAACAGATAATATGAAACATTCCTATTGGGATATGGACAGATTTTTGCCCAGCAAGACTTTTTTTGTTTGTAAAAGATGTCTAATAGACGTCTAAACATAGTCTTGCCTACAACGAGGCTAAATTTGGGCTGTCAGTGAAAATCTAATAGACGTCTGAGAATAGGCCAAAACTAGACTAGTCATCAAATAAACAGAAATGAAGGACTACACATGTACAGTCTGTCTAATCTGTCTATTTTACGACTAGTCTAGTTTTGGGCTTTTCTTAGATGTCTATTAGATTTTCACTGACAGCCCAAATTTAGCCTTGTTTTCGCCAAGTTGTTCATTAGACATCTACTAAACACAAAATTGTTTGCTGAACATAAAACTAATTTTTGTTTTGCTAAACAAATAACACGCCACACCATACAAAAAAACTCAAAATATTATGAAATTCTGAATGTGCCTCATATGGGTGAGTGGGCTTGACAAACCACTTGCACTACATTTTCCAACAGACTCTTTTGAGCAACGTTTCTGAGAGTGCTTCACATTTTGACAAACCACCTGTGGAAAGACACTCCTCTCTACAGTATATGCACCGGACACTTTACCTAAACTTAAAAGGACTCAATAAGCAAAGCTTTACTTGTAAATGTTCCACACAATTGTTGTTTTCTTCAACCTTAAATACCTCTTTTGCAAGATATCTTGCACAATATTGTTCTGTCTTATGTAAAAGTACTTGTATAGTCTGTCTTAGGCTATGTGAAGTTTGTTTTTACATTTATATTTATAGTATATGTATAGTTAATAGTTAGTATATTTACATTACCACTTCGTTATGCAAGTTATGTATACTGTAGGTGTTGTTTTCATAGTTATGATCATGTTTATTTATATGGTCCTGCAAGACACTACATTTGTTCTACTGTATATCCACAAATGTAGTGGAATGACAATAAAGCTTAACTTGACTAAAGATACTGTATATTATTCAACATTTGACATACATTTTAGTTTATATAAGGCAAGTGTCACTTTATTACTGCTTTGTTATTTTCTAAATCCTCTTTTTAGTGACCGTATAGGACAATACCATAATAAAATATAAAATTATATATTTTTATGAATAATTCAAATGTCATTTAATTTATTTTTACATGAAATTATTAAATTCTTATGAAATTTGACACCAGTTTCTTGGGTGGAGTTTGCTAAAATATTTAAATTACATCATGCAATCACCAAATTTCAAATAAGAAGTTTTACGTTTTATTTTATTTATTTTTTATGTACTTTAATATGACTGAAAAAATTGAATATGAATAAAATGTAATACAACTTATTAAACTGATCTAACTCTTCATCTAAGTTTAATATGATTAATAAACATTTGAATGGGTATTAAAGGTAATAAAATCTATAAAAATGACCCAACAATCTGCAAGAATCTGTCACGTTTACTTGGAAAAATGTGTAAATATCCAAATTCCTATGTTTAGACTCTCTGCTGCTGTATCTAATTCATCATCTAACTTTAATATAATTACTAAACATTTAAATTGGGATAAAATGCAATAAATCTATAAAAATTACCCAACAATCAGCAAGAATCTGTCATATTTACTTGGGAAAATGTGTAAACATCCAAATTCCCATGTTTAGACTCTCTGCTGCTGTATCTAATTCATCATCTAACTTTAATATAATTACTAAACATTTAAATTGGGATAAAATGCAATAAAATCTATAAAAATTACCCAACAATCAGCAAGAATCTGTCATATTTACTTGGGAAAATGTGTAAATATCCAAATTCCCATGTTTAGACTCTCTGCTGCTGTATCTAATTCATCATCTAACTTTAATATAATTACTAAACATTTAAATTGGGATAAAATGCAATAAAATCTATAATAATGACCCAACAATCAGCAAGAATCTGTCATATTTACTTGGGAAAATGTGTAAATATCCAAATGCCTCACGTTCAGACTCTGCCACTGTATAACTCATCTAACTCATCATCTAACTTTAATATTAATAATAATCATTTGAATGAGAATAAAATGCAATAAAACCTATAGAAATGACCCAACAATCAGCAAGAATCTGTCACATTTACTTGAAAAAACTCATCTAATGCAGTTTTTTAACTTCAATTATTCATGATGAAAGATTCTAATGCGTATAAATTCGGGAATGCATGTAAATACACATGAGATATGTAATAAATAGGAAAACGAGCGATTTAAATTCTCCGTAAGCCTAATATTTAAGCTTTCAGTATCATTAAAGTTCTTGCCGGATGACTGATGACATACCCACCTGTTTTATCCATCTCAATATCCTGTCAGCCAACTCTCATTAGCACTGAAACTGTGTGTGTGTGTGTATGTGTGAGTCTGGCTTGGATGAAAGGTAAATGTATAGCACATGTCTGAGTGAGTTGGCGAAAGCCGATGAGTGAATTGTTTCATGTGAATGAAAGCTCTTTAACTCCCTTTCATTTGCAAGAAATGCGAGGGCCAGGTTCAACAATAATAAACCAACACATTATAAACACACCGCAGGCACAAAAACACACACCTATGTGCGCACGCACACACACCTTTCCACAGCTATTGAGAAAATAAAGCAGGTCCATCTGTGTAAACACTGATGGTCTCAAGCCGATGTGTGTCGTCAGAACGCAAGTTGTCATTTATAAGCACAGGAAAGGGTGTTGCCATCTCTTGTGTGTGTTTCCACCACAAAAAGGACACACTTTTACTAATGTGTGTGAAGAAAGCCAAACAGAAGAATAGATAAATGCAGGCCTGCTTCCCTCGATTACGTCCAGTTCAGTTTGGTTTGTACAGGCTATTCAAAGCAGATAATAAATGCTTGTATAGCGCTCTGCATCAACAGATCTTCTGGCAGCTTTCGTAAAACCAGAGACCTACATCACCTGCAAGCACCCAATCAGATCGCTTCCTCACACATAAGCGAGGTCAACCCACACAAAGGCACTTTAGTGTCAGTGTAATGGCTTTTCCGAGCTGTATTCCTAACATAATCATTCCTTGTGTGCTATAAAATTCATTTCTTCCTGCACCGGACAAAATTTCCTATGGCTGTTATTGTTTTTAAGGCCTTCGATAGAGCCAAGCGTGGGGTTCACGTGAGAGAGAGGTGGCTGAACTGGCACTCTTTGCAGTTTACTATGTATACAAACCTCAAGTTGTAATAACTGGGTGGTGTACTGTAATTACAGTGTAACTACTGTGTAATTAGACACATATAACCCTGCTGTTTTATCTTCAAGGACCATAAAGAAGCGGCCAAAGCTGAAAAGTGAGTGTACCTTCATGAGAGTGAGGGATATATGATAGCCTTTCAGATGAGATAAGTGAAGAGTGTTGGAGATTACGCTTTAGACACATCTGTAATTATGTACAATACTAACAACACAGCAGCGGCTAATTTCATTCACACATGAGGGAAGTCATGAAAAGATAATAACAGTATAGAGCTTGTCAATGTCAAAATGAATGCACAGATTTTTCTTTTTAAAGTGCAGCTAAATTCACCCACGTTAAAGTGGCAGACAGAAAGTAAATGTGTTTTTTTTCTCCCAGCAGTGTCAGTGATTAACCTTATTTCATTCATTCATTCATTCATTCATTCATTCATTCTTTCATTCAATTTCTTTTCAGCTTAGTCCCTTTATTAATCTGAGGAGACCTCAGCAAAATCAACCGCCAACTTATCCAGCATATGTTTCACGCAGCGGATGCTCTTCCAGCCGCAACCTATCACTGGGAAACATCGATACACACTCATTCACACACATACACAACAGACAACTTAGCTTACCCAATTCACATATACCACATGTTTTTGGACATGTGGGGGAAACCGGAGCACCCGGAGGAAACCCATGCGAACACTGGGAGAGCATCCAAAATCACACTATTTCATACACCATGGATTATACAGAATAAATAATAAAAAATGTGTAATACAAAATTCATGAATTTACTAAATAATTGTATAAAGAAATATTATGCACATATTATTTTAAAAACTTCCGTGAAAATAAATAAACCAACCAATAAACTATGAACCGATACATAAACATATTTAAAAAATAATAATATAGGATATATAATCCAGTAAAGAGTGTTCACACTATACTTTTACTTAATATCAGTCTAGCACATTGTGAACACAGCAAATATTTGCAACAATGGACAGCAGTACATGTACAGCAAGTGTTTTTCAGCCAATGATGAACTTCCGGTGAAAGGCTTACGTGACTATTTTCAATTTCATGAGGTTCTTTTTACCACATTTATGTTGTAATGTAACTCAAATATAATAAGTTAAATAGATTTAAGGATCCATTTGGTTGTTAAAGTGTAAAAAGAGATGAAAGATCACGCAAACGCTAGCGCCGTAATCAACAGGACACTCTCAGAAATAAAGGTAGCCTATGCAATCTGTTGCTGGGGCGGTACCTTTTCAAAAGGTACACATTCTGGGGTAAAATATAATTTAATGCAGTGCTTCTTGCTTGGACTGATACCCACTTTATATCATATCTTTATAGGCATATCTCATGATATAATGATAGATGATAGATCTCCGCAATCAGATATTAAACACAGCGATTTTGTATGCGATAACAATTCACCAGAAGCCCTGGGCCTGGCTGACTAAAATTAAAAGTACATAAATACATAAAGTACAGCAGCTAATATTCAGGAAGAAACTGTAAATTCAAAATAAACTTTATGCATATCAGAAGCATTACCTTGACATTAACTTTTTTGATCACCAGACACTGTGGCTAGTAGATTTCCAACATTACTAGCCACTTGCCATTTTCACTATCTACAGTTTTGTTGTTGGGACAATATATTTAATATGCATAAATCTGACTTTGAGATGCTAAATTGACTTGATTTACATTTTGTGTTATGTCCACATGCCTCCTTATTCATTTCCCTTTTTGTGTGTTGTGTATGAGCTTGCTCAATGAGGGTTTTGGTTTCATAGTGTCGCATTGCAATTAGTTTATATTTCACATGACTCTTCAGGACTCAAAATTAAGGATTTACCAAGTTTATCTCTGACCACAACAAAAATAAATAAATAAATAAATATTTCTTAGCCACAAGTTTTAAATAATGTTTCAAAACAAGCAAAATATTGCCGATCCACCTCTCATTTGGTATTTACCTGCTTTTGTGCCGCACAAACAACGTTAGGTTTATTCAGTTGTGTTGCTTTTCCATTCTAAGATCATATTTGCTCGCATATTGGTCCATCCTTATTGTCCAAGCCTGCTTTTAAGAAAGCTACAATTTAAAAATGATTTTCAACCAGCCAAATGGGGCTAATGAGAGTGGCTATAGAACCCACGACAGCTTTGGTGGGTTGGCAGGTTTTTAAGGGTCACGAAACACAAGCTAATATTTTGAAATTGCTAAAAACACAGTTAGGACACATATACCCCATTAAAAAATTAACATTCATTGTTTTTTTAAAACAAAAATCAGCCACTCGATGTGGCAACACTGTAGCAAGACGCGGAAAATACAAATTTGTCACTCGACGCAGCAAGAAGCAGTTCCAGTTCGTGTTGATTGTCATGTCTCTACGAATTTGGTAAGTGCGTGATTAATGTTCTTTATGTTTAATCAGATGGCAAAGTTAGTATCATCAGCATAACTCTTTCAGTTTTTGAAGACATACCTAAGTCAAATTAAATAAAGTTACTAAGTTTATAGTGACATCAAATTAATTTAATCTCTAAAAATCACTTTGAACGCAACACAGCCACCCTAAATCACTGCAAATGCCATATTTTAAATGTATCACACTGAGACTTAAATGGATGCAGTTATGAAGTGCGTGGCATAGATGTTTAACCCTCATTTCACATAAAACACACCAAGAGTTTAGACAGAGCAGTGAGGCAGTTGTACCAGCTGTCGTTCTGGGCTTGTTTCTGCCTCGTCTGGCCTAGCCAAATGTGAAAATGAAGAGATTTATGGTTGCGGAGAGGAAAATACGCTGGTAATACTCTAATCAAGCATTCACGCTCACTCTCTAGCAGCTTTCAACAACTCCGTCTCCAGAACAAACATTTTCACAGCACGCAAACGCCATTATTGTGAACCGGTGAATTTGTGTGTATGTAACGGCAAATAAACCCTTCACGGGCCACTGCCAAATGCTGTGATACTTTCAGCATGCATGTGGCAAACACGTCTTGCACCTCATTTCAAAGTCAGGTGACTTTATTTAAGGATGTTCGCCTGAGAAGTACTTTTGGTGAGTTATCTGTAATAATCACACTCCCCTTATGCTCCCCATCTCAGAAGGAACCCAGCCGTGAAATTACCATCAGATACAACACACACACACATGTAGAAAGAGAGAGAGGGGGCGAGAGTCGGGTTGATAAATAAACCATTTCTGTTGTACACAAGGGCCAAGGGTTGCTGGAGCCAAACACTGAATATAAACTCTCCAGAGGAACAGAAGAGCAAAACTCCACAGCTAACAGAATACGCAATCAATCAAGCCCAAGCGAACACGCAACACCCGGCCTGAGTATTGCAGGTCATGAGGAACACATACGCGTATACTGAAGCTTGAAAAATGAAAAATGGGTAGCGATAAGGAAAGTGTTCATGTTTATAGTGGTTTGAAAATTAAAAACAATTCTTGATAGAGGCATTTCAGATCAGTGTATTGGTTCTAGATAACCCGAGATAAAACTCTTTTGACATATTTTTACAATAACTGAAGTAAAATATGAGTGTATTTATTTGAATATGTATATTTATGAACTGCTATAAGTATAAAAATATGTGTTTGGTAAGATTTAAAAAATGTTTTTAACATATAACTCATAACTGCAAATGCGTAAAGCTGCATCGATTTTATTTACAATGAGAATGAGAAACCAAACAAGACACAGGTGAACATAATCAGTAATTCAAGAGTTGAACTGATTATAAAGCGTGATTGGTATGCAGTCTCAGGAGAGAGCCCTGAGCTCATAAGATCCTCGAGCCCAGGGCTCCCTGCCGTTTGCAGGGCAAGAGGAAATTCTGAGCTCAGGAAGATCTCGAGAACTTCCTAGCAGCATACTTACTAGGAGCATGTCTATGGTGCCGATTTGGATTAGTCAATTAACTTAAATTGCATGTTTTTGGATGGTGGGAGGAAACTGGAGGACCTAGGGGAAATCCACACGAGCACGGAGAGAACATGTAAACTACATACAGAAACGTTGACTGGCCTGGTAAAGGCGTTCTTGCTGTGAGGCAACAGTGCTAACCACTGGGCCGCCATGCCAACCATCTACAAAAGGAGGAGGAGTGGAGTGGTGGAAGGGGGGATTCTTCAAAACAAAGATGACTCTGGTATAAAACTTAGATTATTTATGGTGACTTAGGATTGGTGAGTAAATTGTCTAATGCGAGACCAGCCGTGATCAATCATAAGCATGTAATCCTCTTAAAATTAGTTCATAAATAAACTTTACTGAGTATAAAAAAGTTGAGTACACAATTATTTTTAACATATTTTTACAATAACTGAAGTAAAATGTTTGGGTATTTATTTGAATATGTATATTTAGGCACTGCTATAAATATAAAAATATGGGTTTGGTAAGATGTTGGTAAAAATGTTTTTAACAAAATATCTTATGCTCAGAACTGCAAATGAGTAAAGCTGCATCTATTTGATTAAAATGAGAAACCAAACAAGACACAGGTGAACATAATCAGTAACAATCCAACAACTTTGAGCATACTTGGAAACCATGCGGGAAACATTGTGTCCTGTGTGTATGATCCTTCAAAAACCATTGCAAATTTGGTGCTTAATAAACATTATGATTATCATCAATGTTGGAAACACCGTTTATTTGATAGACAGACAGATAAATAACCAAGCACACTTTCAGACCCCAAACTTTTGAATGGTACTTTAAGAGAAGCCTAAAGATGTGAGCTGCAGTTTGATGTAGTTTTCATTTACAAGGAAGTTTGTTTGTCGCGTTACACTTACCCTGAGGTCTTTTCCAGCCCACTTGCATTCATCGCGTTTGGAAGGTGTGGCGGGCCAGGCGATCTATAAAACGGCGAAAGAGAGAAGGTGTGAGAATGTGTGTGGAGCGAGCACAATGAGCTGCAAATGACTGACTAAGGCACTCGGCATGAAACCTGGCTGTAAAATAATCAACGACTGCTGCCTGCCGTCCTTCTGCCATCTCCATCTGTGACGACGATGAAGACGGAGGATAAAAAAAAAAAACACTACCATTCGTCTTTTCCATCTAATCACACATACACATGGGGCTGAACACAAAAAGGTTTTTTATTCTGTGTTATCTTTCTCAAAGATCTGCTAAGGTAATCTGTCTGCAAAAGTAATTTGGTTAATTACAATAATTTGCCATGTTCTTATCTTTAAACGATGGCATTGCTGAACATGCGGACATGTTTGTGTGAGAGTTCAATAAAAGCCAGCTTTAACTCTTCCAGGGATTGAATATAAAGCAAATGGTCCGCAGCCCCTAGGACAAAGAAAGAATAAAAGCACAAGAAAGAAGGAGGAAATCATAGTAATAGAATCCAGAGAGAGAGAGAGAGAGAGAGAGAGAGAGAGAGAGAAAGAAAACGATTGAGAGAGAGAGAGAAAGAGAAGCATTACGCTGCAGATACGATCTGGGAATGAAAAACAGAGGAAGGCACGCAGAGATCAAATGGACAGATGGAAAGAAGGAGAAAGTGAATGCAGATCTGGGTTGAGCGGCTAATAAGAGCGAGATGGACGTCTCTGATGACCTCGGGTTTCTCTGACACAATCCATAAAATCCCTCACCGACTCGCTTGCTAAATGTGGACTGAGAGTAACAGCAGGAATTCCATTTTTACGACCTATTTTACTACTCAAATGTGATGTATTTCAGGTGAAGGAAGACATTCGAAGAGGAAAAGAAAAATGTAGGCCCACAGGTTTGAATTGTACCATGGCACATCCTACATGCGACAAACAAAAAAAAAAAAGTGATTTTTAACAATATTTTTATTTATTATGACACTTATACTGTTTCTTTTCAATGAGTTAGTGAAAGTTTAGGTTGCTTAATTGGCATGTGATTTTGTTTAGGCCTACTGAAAAAAGCATTTAAGATTTTATGTATAAAATATGCAATATATTAGCATCATCAAATTAAAATATTCAGCAAATGAAAAATAAATTATAAAATAAATAAATAAAAACAGACAATATGTCTAAAAATTATATTATTTACAAGAATCAAACGTGTAGATTATTTAAATAAGGCAAATGAGTTGATTAACCATTTCTAATGTGTACATATATTTTGTGGCCAGTTTAGATGTCATTTCTTCCTCTTTGTTTTTCTGAGTCATTTGGATTAGAGAATGAATTATTTAGGGTTTCTCTCTCTCTAAACTTAACACAACTTTAGAAAGCAAATGCAAAAACCAGACATTTTTGCAGTTTTAAAAACCCCGGCATTTGTTTAAGTCCCAAAAAGACACACCTTTCTGGGTTCACAGTTAGTGCATGCACAGCAAGCAGTAGCTACTGTGCGAAATGTGTACAGCAAGAGAAGATTTTCTACGATTTGCTGTAAGATAGCATTGGATTTTTCACTGGTTAATCGATCACAAATCTTAGGTTGTTTTGGCCAGATACAAAGAAAGTGTAAGTGGATTATATTATTAGTAAGAAAAAAAGTGCCACCAAATATACCTGATCATATACCTGATCACATAGTAAAGTAAAATCTATGTGTGGGAAGCACTGGTGGAGTTTCACTGGATCATGAAAAATGGCCTTTCCACATCAAGCTGAATGCAAGCTCACTTTCAGAAAGGCTTAAATCAAAGCATTTATTTAGCAACCTGGCAAGTTGTATTTGGAAGATTTATCAACTATGATTGATTTGATTAATTGCTAAAAAAATTGGGATTGAAATTAAGAAACAGTAATAATTTAAGGTGACTTAGGCCATGTACTCACTGTGAAACTTCATTAAACCAGGATTCAATTAAAAAAATTATCATTGTGTGTGTGTCTAATAGCCACAAAGTGATAACAATAGCAATTTTCTTGTTTTCTGCACATAAGAAGTCTACTAATATTTATTATAGTGATCAAACACATCATGCTTGGGGAGCCATCAATAAGGACAATGTGTCTACTATATATTTGGAGGGATGCATCGTAGAAAACAGACCTTTGTGAGTTGGCATGTCCACTTTTTATAAGCAATACATTTATACATTTAATTTATGTAGGAAAAAAAGCAATCAGGTGCAGTTCACAATATTTTGGTATGTAACTTATTTCTACAATAAAAACTTTGGATTTCAGCTTAATATAGATTTGGTTAACAGAAGTGGACAGGATTATATGTAGAAAACTGACAACCGATTTGGGCTGTGGTGTGTGTATGGAGGTTATGTGTCACCTGTTTGACTTCTCTATTGATGTTGACCAGGTCAAAAGAGAAGACGTGATCCTCCGCTCCAACCAGTAATCTCCCTCTCTCCTCATCCATCAGGAACGTGTCGTAACCTGAACTGTTTGCCAAACCAGTGAAAGTCACTAGATTACTGGATTCCAGCATTTCTGAAGGAAAGAACAAGAAAAAGAAGACAAACATGAAGTTCGCAGAAAGTTCAATGTGTACGTCCCACGATAGCATTTATGTTATTTAAGTTGTGGGTCAAATGAGTGAAATCCACGTTTGAGATCTAATGACAAATTAAATAAAGCATCTTTTATTGTTAAAAATTAATTTGGATGAAAAAAAAAAATCCATATTTAATCAGCAGAACAGATATATTTATTAGAACTGGGTAAAACTTAAATGAGATTAAATGGTTTTGCATAATTTAAGTGTGTGTATAGTGTATATTTATTATGTGTATACTGTATAAAATACACACAGTCATGCATATATTTGACAAAATGTTTATTTATATTTATTTAGATATAAAATGTGTATAAAATACAAATTTTATATACATTTAGTTATCTATGTAACAAAATTTTTTTTTATATTTTTTCTATGTATGATGCAATTAATCATGAATAATCTTTCCAATAGTAGTTTTTTTTATGCTATTCATTTATAATCCAGCACTAATATTTATGTAAAAAAAAAACAAAAAAAAAAAAAACATACACTTATTCTCACGTGCACTTCAACTATATAAAATAAATGATTAATCACTCATTCATTCATTTTCTTTTCAGCTTAGTCCATTTATTAATCAGAGGTCACCACAGCGGAATGAACTGCCAATTATCAAGCATATGTTCCACGCAGCGGATGCCCTTCCAGCTGCAACCCATCACTGGGAAAAACCCATACAATCTCATTCACACACATACACTATAGACAATTTAGAATACCCAATTCACCTGTAGCGCATGTCTTTGGACTTATGGGGGAAACCGGAGCACCCGGGACCAGCGAACCAGTGACCTTCTTGCTGTGAGGTGATCATGCTACCCATTGCGCCATTGTGACAACAAAATATATGATATATATATATATATATATATATATATATATATATATATATATATATATATATATATATATATATAAACAAACTTCTTGCTGACAAATGGATATATCCTAGCAGTTTGAAGTATAAATATTCAAAATTATATTTAATAATAAGTAGTTTGGATGTTTATAAACTCATTATTTACACTTTTATAAAAGATTTATACAACTATTAAAAGCTATTTGAAAAACAACACCAATAACTTGTTTAGTTACAATTTCCTAAAATTCTTAGGGGGCCACAACTGTATCTTTCCAAACAAAGAAAAAAAAAGGCTATATTTAATCAAGTATATTACTGGCTAAACCATGTAATCATTTATATGAGGTTAAGACATGGCTGGACAACAATACTTCTTTGCATGAGCTAGAGCTGAACTCTTAGACAGCCATTAAAAATTTATATACAGTACATTTCACAGGCATTTCTATGTACATTTCATATATAAAGCCAGAGGGCCTGATTTAGCGCTTATATGTATGAAAACAGTCAGCAGTTTGCCAACAACTTCATCTTTCAGCACCAGCAGTAAAAGCCTGCATTAAATCTGGGTGTGTCAACCATATTTGCACAATTCATCAGATTAAATCACCCGCAATACACGACCACACGCAGTTTGCTAGATTGCAAATTAGCAGCGCTCTATTTGGAATCCCAGTAACTCGGGTCAGAAGAAGAACTAATCAAGCAAAACTGCTGTTGTTCTGGCAGACGCAGCCAAAGAAACTATCTGTTCGACAGACACTGCGAAAAAATATAACGACCTGAGACACAAAGTCTGCCAAAATTGTCACTCTCCCAGCAAGCTAGGCAACAAGGTCGGATATAAAGAGAAAAAAAAAAGGAAAAATAAAATCCGAGTGAAAGGAGATGAAGTGAGAGTGATACGAAAGAGGTGAACGAGAGAAATGAGTTTGGAAAAGCGCTCCGGCCAGAACAGCTGCTCATGGGAGAGGGTGAGGTCAACATTTCTGCAACGTTTCTGCAACACGCACACGAATCATAATCAACACTGACATGCAAAGACTGCAGCTCCTCTCCAGAGCCCGGATCAATCCGCTCCTATAGTAGCCATCTGCGTTTCTCCTCGCTCGGATTCTGGACATCTGTGCGGTTGTGGAGAGGGAGAACGCGAGCGAGGGGAAAGCGTTAAGGGGAAACAGACCATCCTTTTCTTTGGCTGTGTCAATAACACTGCATATCAAATGTTGAGCAGCATTCCCAACGGACGGGCACAGTTCAGTCTCCAGTCCATTCTCTGATTTCAACACCAGAGTTTTATTAACCAATCACAAGCAATATTCAGATATATAATCATGGATGCCAGGCTGTTCTGACAGACTCCGGCTGAGTCAGATTATTAGGCTGGCTTGTGTAGCAAGCCAGACTACTGTTATCCTATTTTTCTTCTGAGACTAAAAAACAAAACGCATCTCCTCCTAGAGCTTTCGAGCTATGACCACCAAACTCACACCAAACCTTCAAACTGGTCTGACTCGGTGTGCTATATCTTTTCCAACTGATCCGACTTTCGGTTTTCTGAAAAACGTCCCGGGACCGTCGGAAAAATCCCATTGACTTAACATTGGACCAGACTTTGTGACCTCATAACTCTGCATCAGACTGTCACACAGACTTCTAACTGGGCTCATTTAATTCAGACTACCTAAATGCCAATACCTGATGAGCTTTTAACTTTCTGGCCACGCCCTAGTAACCACTTTTGGGACCCTAGAAACTGTCCCATAGACTTCCATTCAAAAGACTGTCGTTGACTTTACATTGGATCAAACTTTGTGAGCTCATAACTCTGCATTAGACTGTCCTACAGACTAATGGCTGAGCTCATTTAACTCAGACAACCAAACTACGAATAACTGACGAGCTTTTAACTTTCTAGCCACTCCCTAACAACCAGATACTGCACCCTAGCAACTGTCCCATAGACTGCCATTATAGAGGCATTGATATTATAGAGAGATTGATATCGTCATGCTGTAGTGTTATAGCAACATGCTAATTATGATTAGCTAAGTACTTTAACATTCTAGAAATGCTTAATATCTATCTATCTATCTATCTATCTATCTATCTATCTATCTATCTATCTATCTATCTATCTATCTATCTATCTATCTATCTATCTATCTATCTATCTATCTATCTATCTATCTATCTATCTATCTATTCATACTTTTTAAAACTGTTTAAACTAAATAAACTATTACCAACAGGCTTTCACAAGCCAGCCTCAAAGTTTGTCTCGACAAACTTTAATAATCTAGTTGAGTTTGTTCTCTTTCATCTGAGAGAAGAAGTACAGAGTCTGTCACCAGGAAGGGAGTAACTTGAATTTGACACAAGACCACAAGTAAAGTAACTGCTGTGCTATAGTACATATAAAATGAAACATAGCACACTGGTTTTACTATTTAATGATGGAAATTTACTATTCAAGAGATGGGAAGCATTGTTTTAAATCAATGAATATTTCCATTTAGCAAGAATCCAATCAAGTTAACCAAAAATGATTTTTCATTATATAAAATGTCCATTTAAAATAAATTCAGCTTTTTTTGACATAGTTTTTATTCATCAAATTATCTAATTTCTACCAAAATATTATTATATTAAACTTAAACTATCCAATACTATTTTCGACTTTGATAAAGCTGGATGATATTACCACAAAGATTATTAATGTTTTATTATACATAGATTTATTGTGGCTTACTAAAAAAGTTGTCACATTTTAAATACCAACTCCCACTATTTACTAATGGCTTATTAAGATGTTGGCTGTTATTTAGTACTTGTATAGATGACCTTATTATAAATCCCTAATCCTAACCAATACCAAAGCCCAACTACTATCTACTAGCAGCAAATTAGTAATTAACTGAGCTCAAAGTCTTCGTTAATAGTTTAACAATATCAACAATTTTACATTTAAATATATTGTGTGATCAAAAGTTGCATTGTCAAATACAAATTTACAATCAACATTGGTGGCAATTAAACCAAGACCTTCTGAACATGTTTACTATGTACTTGTCAAAAAAAAAAAAATTGAAGATGGAGACGTCTGTGGAGAAGTCAAACTAGTAAAGCATTCTGAATGCCTAAGTTTAAAAAATGACCTCAGAATGCAGCGACTGACCAATCAGAATCAAGTATTCTTAAGAGCAGTTTAAGAATTAATATCATACAAGCACTATCTAATCAAAAAAATCATCTATTCAGTATCTTTAAAGACCTCTGAAACAAATAAACTAATATGCAAAACCAATAATGTAATACCAGGAGTTCTTTAACCTCAAAGGACCACTTATTTTACATTCTTTTACTTATTTATTTATTTTTTTTTACATTGGCAGAAAAATTCTGATACAAACTTTAACTTGTGTGTACATTGTTTCTTTCAAAACACGGTGCTGGAGGGCCAGTGTCCAGGATATTTTACTTCCAACCCCAATTAAACACACCTGAACCATCAAGCTCTTTCTAGGTATACTAGAAAAATCCAGGCAGCTATGCTGAAAAAAGATTGAGTGAAACTCCCCAGGACAGAGTTTGGACACTCTTCATATACTGTATATAGGGTAAAGAAGGAACAAAAAGATAAAAAAAAGAAAATCAGAGGGAAAAAAACTAAATAAAAAATAAAAAAAATAAACTGGGATATTTCTGTTAAGCTTCTCAAAGTACCATTTTTAATCTATTCAAGAACCCAAAACATGGCTCTTGAGTAGAGAAATTGCTATTAAAGAACCTAAAGTAGCTGAAAAGTATTGACTAATTTATTCTGCGACTCAGCCCTCTAGATTTATAAGGTCATATTCAGGAAATAAAGTAAAGGCACAGTGCTTTTCTCTAGCCAGACTCGGGGGGAGGCCTGAAAGAACATAGGAGGACTTCCTAGAAAGAGACTACACCTCAACTGTCTCTTATTCTCTCCCCTGACTCATTATTCTCACTCATCTAGTATTTGTTTCTCTGAATCTGCCAAATATTCTTATTCTTAGTCTTCCTTTCCCCTGCCAGTCTCTG